CGCGCGAGCGCACACACACACACACACACACAGATACACACATAAAAGCTCACACAGATAAACTCACTCACACGCGCGCACCTGTGGCGAAAGAGCTCGGAAGCACGACTCAAGGTTGCCTCGCAATGTTGGGCTGTTTCCTTTGATGGGCTTGATCATGGATATGGGAGGCCGCACAGCGCCAATTGTGCGGCCACCGTCCTCATGCCTGGTTGCTGCCTTTGCCAACACGAGCCACAGCAGCGCGCACACGTGCGTGGCCACCACACCACCCAGCAACAGCACAACACCAGCCACGGCAGCGTCCACTGTCATCAAAATCATCATCATCAGACATAGAAAAAAGTGTAAACCGATGCGTGGACTCGGACGCATGACCTTCAGTTTTTGTTAAACATTTCTTGACGTCATCGTGTGTTTGTTTGTGCGTTCAGTGGATGTTTTCCCTGACACAGCGCGAATGGTGACGTTCTGGCTTTGGGCGGGTGGGCGAAGGGCCCTGTTGGCCCCGTATTGCTGACCTCACAAGCGAAACCTGGACGGCAACGAGCCTACGAGCCAACGAGCCCACACAACCCGCCATACAACGGCCCCAACGGCACCACCGTAACCTGACCTCCTGCCAGCCTGTGGTCAGCGTTCCGCGCTACTGTTAAACGACGACGCAGCCGCTTCCGCTGCATGTGACGACGCAAGCTGTTACATGCACGTACCTACGCACGAACGCAGACGCAAGCGCGTGTGCTGTGATGATTGTTGTGGCACAAACGCAAGCCGAAGTGCACGCATTTTCCAAGCACACGCAACTGTTGAACAACACCAACGGCTGCAGTGAGTGGAGGTCTGGAAATGGGCACACGCACCCAGCACCAGCCACACACCCAACAGAACAACGACATCAGCCAGAGCGACAACGAAAGTCACCAGCACGCAAAGGCAGAGGCAAACAACGAACACGCTCACACCAACCACCAACCATGCGCCTCACCGACACTCTTCGTGGTGCTCAGAACAAGGCTGCCGTGAGTCGTCGATGTCTCGCCCTTGCGCTTCTCCTCTTCGTTTTCAGCAGCATGCCAGAAGTGAATGCGGAATGGAGCACCATCTCCGAGCCCTTCACACTCACCTGCCCAGAGGGACAGGGCGTCACGACAGTATCTTCAGAGTTCAACGAAGATGAAGGTAGGCTGGCTTGTGAAGGGAGGGGGGTGGCAGATTGTCTTGATGTGTTTCAGTGTTTGGGTGGTTCGGTTGGGGAAGGCTGGAAAAAAACGTACAGTGACACTCGATGCACTGCTGCTCGTGCTGTGGCAAGCACGTCGCGTCGGGGGCGGGCATGGCAGGTTGTCGCGTTGTGACGTGTGACAAGTGATCATGCCTTCAGATGTGAGCGATGTGCAGAACACACACTCACCCAATCACTCACCCACTCACACGCACACACACACTCATTCACTTATTCACTCTCTCACACTCACTCACTCACACATACCACTCTATTTGGTATGCTGCAGGCGACCGCATATTCTCCCTGACATGCAGCGACATTGGCGGCCAGCCTCAACCACCCCCGACCTGGACAGCAGATTATGTGAACGAGTTTGTGTCCAACGACTATGATCTCTACAGCTTCCCACCGCGCGATCTCACCTTCACCTGCCCAACGAATGAGTGTACGCAGGCAGTACACACACATACATGATTGCCGGGCACACACTTGCGCTTGCGCGTCGTGCCTCTGCGTGTACTCACCCATCCATCATTGCAAACCTGCTTGATTTGGGCACACCCCTTCTCGCTCTTCGTTCAATTGGCGTGAAAAGATTTGACAGGCATAGAGAGCGACGCAAGGGAGGCCAGGATCCAAGCTTCTGTCCGTCCATTCGCCAGTGATCTGTTTCTTGCCTGCTCGCTGTGATGTGAAATGACTGTTTGTTCCATGGTTTGCGCATTACTTTCGCAGTGATGCATACACCTCATGCCATTCTGCCATTGCTCAACTCACGCTACCTTTGTTCCCCACCTACTTGCCACGCACACACACGCACACACACACACTATCTCTCTCTCTCTCTCTATCTCTCTTTCTCTCGGCCAATTCGTGCCATCAGCGTGGTCGCGAAAACTTTTTTGCCGATCGTCGCTGGAAGTTTCAGTGCGCGAAGTTGAATGGCGGCACGCTGATGAATTGCGCCTTTGGACAAGACGAGACGTGGTATCGTGACCCCTTTGATGTGAGCGCACCATCATCATCAGTTATTACAGGTAGGGCTAGCTGTGCACGGAGGACCATCGTGTCTCAAAACTCTGCGTTATTGCTCTTTTATTTTAGTTGCTGCTTTGCTGCTGCTGCGCATCGACTCAGTTCGTTCGTCCATCGCTCATACCTGTTTGTCACCTGCGGTACGTGCTGACAACTCTTTGACTGTTGATGTATCAAGGCGTATCTGCAGACGTTGGCGCTTTCTTCGCAGATAAGGGTGAGGTGTCGGCATGTTTGTACCTGTTTTCATTTACCAGTGGCACCGACAGTATTATCTCGCTCGTCAATGCCCGCAATCCAGCACATGCATCCACACAAGCAGCAAACACAGATGCGAACCTGTACATAAGTCACGCATGCACGTACCACTTGCGTATGCACACACACACACACACACACACACACACACACGCAACGAGTGCTCTGCTTTCTCACTCATTTCGTTTTTGCTCTCCTATTCACACACAACGTACGCAGTTGATCCACTTTGGAGCTTTCAGAAATGCCAGGTACGCAATTCACCAGTGACATGAGCGATGCCCTTCTGTTAGCAGGCGCTTGCGTTGTTTGATCAGGGCCAGGGCAGAGCAAACGCCACACTTTATTCAGCAGCAATGTGTTCAAATTGAGGAATGTGTGCTCACATTCGTGTTTATGTTCGCGCGCGTGTGTGTGTCGTGTGCAGATCACGTGCGACGAAACCAGCGGCTATCAGCTTGTTGGCCGCACATGCCAGCGTGAGTTTGTTTGTCCTCTTGCCTCGTCGGTCACATTCTCCAAGTCATGCCGCGTGTTTTTGCAGTTACACCACGTCATGTCACTTGTTTAATGGCGTTTTCACCATGCCCATACAAGCACACAGGTGGTAGTGTAATAGAACACCTACTCTTACTTTCGCCTACGTGTTCCTGCTCTTGTGTGGTGATGTTTCGTGGGGCAGTGCGGACGTGCGATCCCCTGGTCCTGCCCAATGGCGTCACGGAGGGCAACTGCACCGGTGCTTTTGGTAAGAGCACGCATACATTCGTGCAATCATAGCTGATGCTGTTGTTCATTCATGATGCACTTTGGTTGTGCATGACGTGCTTGGGTGCAGCACCAACAACTCCACATGGATGCAGCCGCATTCTTTGCTCACACGCGTGGTCCTTGGCTATCCTCATCCCCACACTGCCGCAATGTGCTTGGCCAGGTGACGAGTGCAAGTACAAGGAGTGCAACAGGGGATATGAACTGACGGCTTTCGGATCGATAACGCGCACGTGCGATTCCATTGGCACCGAAGTCGCTTGGACTGGGACGCCCAAGGAATGCACTGGTCCGAGAACACAGAACAGAACACGCAGATGCACGAACACACACACACACATGTACCCATGCACGAACACACACACACATGTACCCATGCACGCACATAAACGTGCAAGCACACCACATTCTGAACAAGCCTGCCTGTCGTCAAACAATCCGTTCATAGACGCGTTCATCCACACACACACACACACACACACACACACACACACACACACACACACACACACACACACACACACACACACACACACACACACACAGATGCGGACGAGTGCGCAACGGGCGAGCAAGACTGTTTCCCAGGCTCCGTGTGCGTCAACACGATCGGATCGTATTCGTGCTCATGCCTCTTTGGTGAACAGCGCGATGACAGCTGCTTTGGTACGTTGGCATACACGTGTGAACATGTGTATGTGTTTGTATTTGTACATTGTGGTGTGCGCGTGTGTGCTTGTGTAAGTGCGTGTGTGCGCGCGTTCTGCTGTGCATTGGATTGGGTATCTGTTTGCATCCAGACATGGACAGCACATTCGACGTGCTGACCAACCATCACTGCGTCGCCAACTCACGTAATTCACGTGCAACCATGGCCACCGCCGCATGCTCGGCGCTGCAGTTGAAGCCCCAACGATCACGGTTGAGCTCGGCCTGACAGACATGGACATTAGTGTTGATGGCGAGTGGGGCGATACATTCCCAAAATACAGGGTGCGTTGTGCGTCTGTTGCATGGACATGTGCATGTGCTGTTCGTGCACCTTGACGTTCTGATCAGTCTGTGTGTGTGTGGTGCAGTGCAGTGTGGTGCAATGACGTGTGGTGCAGTGAAGTGACCAGCGTCACCAGCCACCGACCCACACACATGCACACACACGCACACACACACGCGGTTCTTGCACTCACCATCGCCCCCTCCATGTGCGTTGTGTGGCTGTTGCATTGCTGCAGGTGTCTGTGGCGCGCTGGTCGTATGATCTCGCTGCCAAGGAAGACATCGCCGGCTTTCCAAAGACGGTCTCCAAGCCCTTCACGGGGTACCATGTCTCAAACCTTGCTGCAGGCACCCGATACAGGGTGCGTGGGCATGCTTGTGTGGGTTTGTATGGGTATGTACGTGCCTGCTTGTGTGTGCGTATTCTTGTGTCTCTGTATGTGTGTTTGCGCACCAACGGCTATGCATGCTCATGTGTCGCGCAAATGCACACACCACCAACAGGTGACCCTGACGCCTGTTGGCAACAACGACGAAGAGATTCCGTATTTTTCTCAAGTGGCGATGACGCCCGAGGGCAACGATCCCCAGACCATATGCGGTTGCATTCCGGCCGATCCGTCCGGCGCTCCGACCGACTTCCAGATCAAGCAATTCAAAGGGCACGTGCTCTTCCGCTGGGCGGACCAGAGCCAGTGCGAGTCTGCCTTCTCCTTCACGCGCAACGGCGTTGGTCTGACGTCGCGGTTCCCCGTCACGGAGCAGCTGGCATGCGGCGCCATCCAGGAGCCCAACACCGTCTACGACGACCTCACCATCCAGTCGGCTGGCGACTACGCTGAAGTGGACGAGGCCCTCAACTACTTGCTGCCAGAAGGTGTGTTGTGATGCACGTAGCAAATGCATGATGTGATGTTTCGTTGACATTGGTCACCGCGTTGCATCTTGTTGTCGTATGCATCCTTCGCTTCCCATCGTCAGTGCTCATGCTCATCATACCAACACACACACACACACACACACACACACACATACACACACACACACACACACACACCACGCGTAGGCGAGTTTTACCTGCGCCGTTTCCTGGCCGTGGACACGGGCGACACGCGCTTCATGTACCCGCACGAACTGCAGCGCCAGAGTAAGTTCAACGATTCAACGAGACGTGTGGCAGCTGTGGGAATCTGTGCTGTGGGCTTGAAGAAACAGACCTGATCTTCCTGTGATGTCTGATTCCACCGGTTCCCGTACGTGGTCGTACTTCCCACTCACACTCATGTCACACACTCATGTCACACACACACACTCACACGCACGCTCACACTCACACTCACTCTCACCTTCACACACATACACACACACACACTCACACGATGAAGAAACGCACTTCTCGTCGACGAGCACGACCACGACGGCTGCACCGCAGGGTGTGCCTGATGATGAGCACCGCTACTACCCCGGCACTTCCTCGCCCGTCGCATCCGTGTCGGAGTGCAAGGACCTGTGCGACATTCGTTCAGACTGGTGCATCGCCTTTGTTGTGCAGACCAAGAGCGACGACACATTGGTGTGTCACCAACTGCGTGTCATCGAGACCGCGACGCTGCGTGCAGGCGAGAAGAAGGCCGTCTCCTTTGAACGCGTGACTGTCACCGGCACCGGCGTTGACGGGTCGTACATCTTCGATGGGACGCAGGACGACTGCGAGGAGGCGTGCTCTGCACACGGCTCGTGTGATATGACCATGGTGGCTGCTGGCGTGTGCGCCGTCGTTGTCGACGCTGTCGAGACAGAGACGCCGCTCACCCAATCTGTGCATCCCGACATTGACCCGACGTTCTCACGCCGCATCCCTGGTCCTGAGCCCGGCACCACGCAGGAGTACTGCATCGAGGCAAACAAGCCCGAGTGGTACGACCTTCAGGGCTACTCCTCAGACCCCACTTGTTCCGACTTCACAATCATGGTGAGTGCGCATCCGTGCGTGTGCGTGTGCGTGTGCGTGTGCGTGTGCGTGTGTGTTCTTTGTGTGCGTTTGCCTTTGCGTATGTACGTGTGTGTGTGTGTGTGTGCATTGTTTGACGTTGTATTCGTGTCGTGTGACTTTGCCTGCCTCTGGCTTGTTGCTTGGTTGCTCTCCTCACCGCTGCATGAGCTTGTCACATCCTCCCTGTCCACGTCACCTCACATCCATCCATCCTGTCATCACCTGGTGCAGTGGGAGAGTCAGCTTGAGGGCCAGATTACCATCGACTCCAAGGAAATCCACCTCCCCGTGGAAGGCGTTGAGGTTGAGTTTGAAATTGGCGGACTGGTGCGTGGGCGTCGCATCACCAACGAGGACGGAAAGTTCTTCATCCACATCCTCTCGGACAAGCTGGTCGGCAGCCGCCACCGCATGACGCTCCGCTTCTCCAAGACCACGGGCAACATCAAGCACACCTTCACCTGCGGCGGTATCGCTTGCACGGAGAGCACGCTCATCATGGAGCACCTTCGCTTCGACCATCAGGTCAACGTCAAAGACACCACGTCCCTCCCGTTCAGCGGTATCGTCTCCATTGGCGGCACGGAGCACGAGGGACTTCCTGACGGCTGTCCGCTCAAGGACGTTGAGGTGTGTCTGTATGACCGCAACCAAGCCAACACCCTCATCAACTGCGACATGTCGGATTCCAAGGGCCGCTACCTCATTTCGGCTGTTCTCGGCACGTCTGTTACCGTCAGCCTCAGCTTTGGCAACTCGTCCCACACGTTTGAGCGCGCACCGTACAAGAAGGACGCAGCCAACGCCCCATCGGGCATCCTGCAGTCGATTGATGCCACCAACTCACTGGTGCGCACGCCATACTACGATGTGACGGACGGCATGTTCTGGGAGAACATCAACTTCAAGGACACGACGTCTGACAGAGGCACCGTTGACATTGCCGGCGGGCTGTGTAACCTCAACCTCGGCGATGCGGTGATGGAGTTCCGGTATGACGCGTGCCCAACGTGGGTGAAGACACACACCATTTCTGACCGGCTGTCCAAGTGGACGCTGCCAGCGCAGATCATCACGGTGCGCTTCAAAGAGATTACGCGCAACTACGAGGTGCGCGGCGAGATTACGCGCTACTTCTCGGCCAAGCTGGGCAACTCGCGCTCGCTGTACTTGGACCTGCGCAACCCGCAGGAGGACGACGAGGACAAGAAGACGGTGCGATTCGAGTACCACCCGCCACCGCAGCTGAGCGTTGAGTTTGATCGGGAGATGAAACACAACTGCAACAGCACAGAGGGTGATCGCCCCTTGCACGTTATGAGGCAGAACGAAGAGCTGAAGGCGACCGTCAAGGTCATTGAGGACTACGGCGAAGGCGTGGGCACGTGCGATGCGGTGCCGGGCCAGATTGAGGTTGAGAACCAGCTTGGTGAGTCGCCGGCCATCGTGGACGTGCTGAACGCAACCACCTCCCTCACCAACAAGCAGCTGAACAAGTTGAAGCTGTGCTACGACACGTGCCTCATGGACGTGACCATGGACGAAGAGCTTCAGGATGGCGAGACCGTGTACTCCAACACGCGCATTGAGTTGAGCATCATGACTGGCGAGCCGGAGACCAACCCACAGGCCGTTGACCCCGAGAACCCGTACTCCAAGCTCTTCCGCGTCACCATGCACAACCTGCCACAGGACCCCGTCACTGTGTACGAGAAGGTGGTGGTTGTTGGCGACAAGGTCATCTCCAAGTTCTTCAGCGTGCCCTTCCCGCGCTATCAGCCGCTTGCCGTGGTGCAGGACCCCCCCGGTGGCCTGTCCACCGTCACGTACTCCAAGGCGTACAGCAACTACTTTATGAAGAGCCACACGCACGAGGAGTACCATGGGTTCTACTTCACCACGGGCCTTGCTCCCGTCAAGGTGGAGACGGGCGTGCAGCAGTGTGTTGGCCTCGGCGCTGCCGTGTGCACTACGGTGGCAGACACGGAGTCCACCCCGTTCAAGATCACTGTCGACCAGACTCACGTAAGCGAATGCATGTTGTGTTGTGTGTGTGTGCGTGTGTGTACTTGTGTTTGTGTTTGTGCAAACTTTGTGCGCGCAGCTTTGCTGATGCACATTGTGACCTTGCCTTGCTTGCTACTTGCACACTCACTCAAACAAATGCTCGCCTTACTGCACCCTTCTTCCCGTCTTTGCTTCTTGTTCCATCATCAGACCTTCGGCAGCATGGACCCAGAGGACAACTACGGCTCTGAACGCGTGTGGTCGTTTGCAATTGAGCTGACGACCTCGGATGACCCGGGCACGGCCGGCGAGAAGTCGGACATGTTCCTCGTGCCCGCCCTCAACGTGGTGTGGCTGGAGACGGAGGAGGTCTCGTTTGACGTGGAGCAGTGCCAGGCATCCAAGGAGACCAAGGTCAAGTGGAGCCTTGAGGGCCAGGATAACCGCAAGGTGCTCAGCTGGGTGTCCGCACTTGAGATTGAGAACAAGGAGCTGCCAGACCTGCGCAAGCTGCTCGCTCTCGCCGAACAGCCACCAGGCGATGACGACGACGACACGGAGGAGGACAGGGCGGAGAAGATTGCTGAGCTGAAGCGCGCGATCAAGGCGTGGGAGGACAACCTGGACCGCAACAAGGAAGTGCGGCAGCAGGCGGCCGATGGGCTGCTGGAGCCCGTGCAGAGCATGTGGGCAAAGGGCAACGCCGAGTTTGAGTGCTCACCGAGCATTTCCCCCGATGAAGACCCGGACAAGGCGGCCAAGATCCAAAGCGAGCTGTCGCGAACCCAGCTGTGCAGTGGCTTTGATGTGGACCGCATTGCCGACAAGGCGCAGAAGGGCATCTCACTCGCCCCACACGACGACATCGACAATGGAAAGGACTTGGACGGCTTTGCCGCGTCAGACCAGGACAAGCAAGACCTGCGCAACATTGACACGATCAAGTTCTCTGGCGGCGGGTCCACGTACACGTTTGAGTACGACCTGTCACGCGGCGACAGCGTGATTGGCGGCAGCTCGCGAACGCACGAGGTGTCCGTTGGTGTTGATGTTGAGTTTGGGTTCAAGGTTTTCGGTGTGGGCATGGCGTTTGAGCTGTCCACAGGGTACAACTACGAAGGCACGACAGCAGATGAGTATGAGGCCGGCGTGTCGACGGATGGAGCGCTTTCTGTGACGCTCGGCGACCCTGACCCATACGACGTGTTTGATGTCGGCATCTTCGTACACCCCGACTACGGCACGTTTGTCTTCGCCACCTTCTCTGGCCAGTCTTCCTGCCCGCATGAGCCCAACACGGTGAAGCTGGAGCAGCCTGGCATCAGCATCCTGAAGCGGCCAGAGGCGCCCGTGCTGCCTGGCGAACCCGCCGTCTTTGAGTTGTTACTGAAGAACGATGGTCCAAGCTCTGCAGACTTTAGCGTGAGTGATGTGTGATGTGTGTATGTGTGTGGTTGTGTGGTTGCGGTTGTGTGCATGTGTGCGTGCTTTGTGCTGTTTCGTGTCTTGGCACATTCAGCAGCAGCTGAGCACATCCATGTCTTGCATGTTCTTCCACCTTGGGCGTGTTGTTCTCACCATGCTCTCTCCTCCACTCCCTACAACTCCACTCTGCGCCACGGCAACAACATGAACATGCGCAGCTGTTCTATGTGTCGCGCCTCAACCAGGATGGCCTTGAGGTCGTCGTGAATGGCCAGGCGCTGGAGACGCCACTCGTCTACGAGACGTTCCCGGCCAACTCGGCAAGCCACGTCACCGTCACCGTGAACCAGGGCCCAAACGTGTTCAAGTACGACCCAGTCGCCGTTGGCTGGCGATCCATCTGTGAGACGACCAACGTGGAATACGTGTACTTGGAGGCCGAGTTCCTGCAGCCGTGCAGCCCCGTGAAGCTCGTTGGCGAGATTGGCGAGTCTGGCGCGTTCACCCTCAACCAGGAGACGATGGAGCAGGACTACAAGCCTGGCCAGATCCGCGTCGTGGCTTTCAACCCGGACCACGCCAGACGCACGTGGCTGGAGGACGATCGTCTGGAGAAGGTCGTCATCGAGTACAAGCCTGCCAACTCGTACATCTGGCTGCTGGCCCGCGACGAGAACGGCGATGCGTTGGACATTCGCGAGCGCGAGAACGAGTACGGCTACATCACGGCGTGGTGGGACGCGTCGACATTGCTTGAGGGCGACTACCACCTCCGCATTCGCGCGCAGTGCCAAGCGTCCATCAACGAGATGCCCGATGGCATTGACGAGAAGCTGTCGTCTGTGGCGACTGGTGTCGTTGATCGCGACCCGCCGGTCGTGTATGGGTTCCCTGAGCCCGCGGATGGCGAGTTCTTCCCTGGCGACGAGATGTCGTTCCAGTTCAACGAGGACGTGGAGTGCCGGCAGCCGTTCATCTTCCAGGTGTCGCTGACGGTGGAGGACTACGACCGCGACTTCAACAACAACAACATGGTGATTGTGTGCGAGGGCCGCAAGATCTCCATGTCCCTTCGCCGCGGATTCCGCTACGACGAGGTCAACGGGCTGAGTGCAAACCTGGCCATCGCCAACGTCAAGGATCTGAGCGGCAACACGATGCAGTCTCCATCTCAGCACACGTTCACCTTCGCTGAGCTGAACCTGGCGGATGCCAGCGTGACTGTGAGCGGCCTCGTTGTCAACGTCCCATATCAGGACGTGTACGCCGACACCACGTCGGAAGGCTTCATTGACCTGGCCGATGTGCTGCAGGCCGAACTGGCCACCATTGTGGACACGGACCCGTCACGCGTGACCATCACGGGCATTGCGCCTGTCGATGCGACGGACTACACTGTAGGCATCACCGTCTCCCTCCGTTTCACGCCCGAAACAGCAGACACAGCAGCTGCTGGCCGTCGCCGTCGTGCCACCACGACCACAACTGCCACGGATCTTGCCACGCTGCTGCAGAGCCGGCTGCAGGATGCAGCGTACACGGAGTCGCTCTCTGTCCTCAACACTGCCTCGCTGAACGAGGCAGCAACAGTGGAGTTGGAGCCGTCTGCAACCGACGCAGCCCAGAACGGCGCGAGCGGCTCTAGCGGTGGTTCGGCCGCCTCTGTTTCTACCTCAACGTCCTCTTCCTCATCATCTTCAACAACGAGCACCTGGAATGATCTTAGCCTCGGTGAGTGAGAGTGTATTTGTGTGTGTGTGTGTGTGTGTGTGTGTGTGTGTGTGTGTGTGTGTGTGTGTGTGTGTGTGTGTTGTTGTTGTTGTTGTATCTCTTGTCTCGTCGTCGTGCGATGAGGTCGGAAGTGCGAGAAGGGTGCTTCATATCTGCGTCCACGCCATCGCCAAGCTCACCACAATGTGATTTCCTTCTTGCGTTCTGTGTGTGTGTGTGTGTGTGTGTGTGTGTGTGTGTGTGTGTGTGTGTGTGTGTGCCTGGCTGTGCAGCTGTTGCTTCCTTGGCCTTGAACGCCGTGCAGCTGGTGGTCGTGGTTGTCGTGTTTGCGCGCATGTTTGTCTACATGAAGAAACTTGGCCGCAATGGTCGTGATGACGATGATGACAGCATTGGGCGCAGGCCGTCGCGGAGTGACCCTTCCAAGACAGCTTGGTTCAAGGCCTGGAGCCCTCGGAGCTCCAAGGTCCAGCCCTTCCCCGAAGACGCCGCTGAGACCACGGTGTGAATGGCGGGAATGACCTGAGCTGTTTGCTTTTGACCAGACACACGCGGGCATCGCGGGTGGATGCCCCCGGTGTTCCTCCTTCTCGAGGGCATTTTGTTGCACGTGTTACATTACATTACTGTGAACCTGTTGGCATTGTTACATGCGTGCCCATTGGTAGATTGGTGGTGTTGTTGTTGTCGTTCTGCGTCGGTCAAAGTTTTGCTCTTCACTGTCGTGCGTGTGCGTGCGTGTGCGTGTGTTTGTGTATGTCGTGTGCGTGTGTATGTCGTGTGTTTGTGTATGTCGTGTGTGTGTTTCTGACACCATAGCATGCGTTGCGTGTGCGTTCTGTCATTCTTGTTGCTGTTTTGAGTACACGCATCTCCTTGGTTGGGCGACACGAACACAAGCAACACGTACAAGTGACAGGGAGACTGGGAGAGGTGAACAGAGCAGAGAGGTGAGCAGCGAGACTCTCTGAGGAAGGGGAGCCCTGGAGCCAAGAGCTCTTCAAGAGCAGAGGAGAAGCAAGCAAAAAAAAACGCATAACAATCGCAGGTCTGGAC